ACCGAATGCCCCGTCCAGAAAACTGCCCCCCTGAACTCTATGACATCATGAACAACTGCTGGAAAAGTAAGCCGGACGATCGCCCCACTTTCGACTACATCCAGAGCGTGCTGGACGATTTCTACACGGCCACTGAGGGCCAGTATCAGCAGCAGCCCTGAAGGCCGGCGCCGCCCGCTGCCTGAGGTCATGTACACATGTAAATAAGAGTAATATTCAGCATCGATCAGCTTGCTTATGTTTAAGCAAGATTGAACTGTTTCTTCAAATTGAAGTTTTATCTGCTTGCCTGTTAAATGCCGCTGTACACTTGGACTTCATTGAATGTATTTAATTGTCTCAGTTTAATTTTAGTGACCACAGTCATAAACACAATCATACCATTGAGTTGACAGGGAGAAAAATCAAATATTCATTTTACAGAGCTTTTATTTGACAAGACATAACAATCTAGCATTAATAAAAAAGATTAAGGGACCACATGCAGCCCGGTCTCGATGAATCTGACCAATGGTACAGTCGTAAATTATAAATAATATTGAAGCAGCTTGCACTTAGTCTCAAATCACTCACACTAAAGATGCTGGACGACGAATGACACCATTAAAGTATAATAATAAAGGCCTTGTTAATCCCATTCGGTTGTAATTACCTGTATCTTGTAATTCTCTGTACCTTTCTGTTAGGGTCAAGCCTGTTAATGATGTTATCCTTTGCACTTAAATTATTATGGATATGTTTCTCCTTTAGTTTGATTTACATGTTCTGTACATTTGTATATTCTTTTGATGATCCCATTAAACAATGAATAAGACGAATTCAGTATCTGCTTTCACCTGAGCTGACTGTGCGAAGATCTGTGAAAAAAATCACCTAATTAGAATGAGCAACAATAAATGATCAGAAATACTTCAGTTATTTAGTTAATTTGTTCATTTGTGTGCAGGGACTGTTAAACTGGAAATTACAAAGCAGCACGTAGCAGACTTTTTTATTTATTTTTAATTTTTTAGAGAGTTTTTAAAGAGTTTTTTGGACTAAAGTGAGTTAAAACAGAATACATCTGACCTTGGAGTAAAGTGTGTCTCAGTTAAACATAATGGACTTTTATTTTGACGGAAAGCTCCCTCTGTGCCGGGGATCATGTGACCATATCAACATGGCCTCGCGCTTGGAGGCGTGACGTCGCTGGGGTGCTGCGTCGACATCTGTCGCCCGGCAGATCCTGCACCCTCTCGGATTCCTCCCGCATCTCATTGGACGAATTCAGCAGCTTTACCAATAACTGCGCTCCCGTATTTGTCTGGTTTCAAAAGGAATTGTTTTTATGTTTATTTAAAACAAAAGGAATATATATATATATATATATATATATATATATATATATATATATATATATATATATATATATATATACATATATAGCCTTCCGCCCAATGACAGCTGGGATAGGCTCCAGCACCCCACCGCGACCCAGAAGGATAAGCGGTTTAGATGATGTATGTATGTATGTATGTATGTATATATATACATATATATAAGATACAATGAAATTACTTTAAAAACTAACTGCGTTTCAGTGCAGGAAAGTACGGAGCCCCGGAGGGGACGGAGGTAAAAAAAAATAATAATTCGAGTGAACGTTTTGCAGTTCGTACGCACGTTTTCCTTTATTCGTGGTCACGATTTCTTAAAATCGTTCCCTCGTTTTCTTTTAAACGTGCGCACGTTTTCTTTACTTCGTGGGTACGTTTTTGTTTATTCGTGATCACGATTTTCTAATTCGTTCTCTAATCGTTGTCATGCTTATTTTGAACTGAACGCACCTTGTTTATTATTTTGATTCATGCGCAAAAATCACTGTAGTAGATACAGGTCGTGTTTTTTGTCCTGTGCAGAAGCAGCTAACAGCTCCCTGAGACCGTCTGACGGGTTTGGAGTTATGAGTTAGATTGATGAGATAATGAGATGCTCATCAGGTCTGATTCTGATTTAGGGGGGTTATGAGGAAACTGCAGCTCCCTCTTCACAGAAAACGGCCCTCAGATTCATCAGTGCAGCTGCAGTTTGGTGGTGAAATGAAGGTAGGCAACAAACTACAACCACAACCTTCACTAAACTGCACTGTCTAATGATCCTATTTAACAGAGACAGAGACGCAGCGCGGCCGACAAGCTGCGGTGTTAGAGATCATCACACAATTACAGGAGGAAATGATCAACGTCAACGTTTGAACAAACTCAAATTAAACACACACAGAAACACTCATGTGGGATGAGGTCAAATGGCGAGAGAGTTTAATAGATCTATGGATCAGATGTTGATATATTAATGTGAGGTTGTTGAAACGCTGATCATTGCGTCCTGTAATTGTGTGATGGTCCCTAACACCGCAAGTTGCCCGGGAGCAGAAACACCGTGGGCCGTTCGCTGTGAAGAGTAAGTAGTAAGTAAAGTTTATTTATATAGCGCTTTTTACAACATGTGTTGTCACAAAGCAGCTTTACAAGGAAATGAGCATTACAAAAAGAAGTCCGGGTCCGAGCCCCCATGAGCAAGCCAGTGGCGACAGTGGCAAGGAAAAACTCCATAAGAGAAACAGGAAGAAACCTTGAGAGGAACCAGGACTCAGAAGGGGAACCCATCCTCCTCTGGTCGACACCGGATAGTAAACATTGTTAGTATAAAGTATTATAGTACAAAAAAACAGGGTAAAACGTGAAGGAAACAATTAATCTGAATAGTTCAGTTCATGCAGCAGAAGCAGCAGCATCAGTGGGGTCAGGTTGTGAGGGTGAGGTTTGCACGGTGAGCAGTGGCACCCGATCAAGGCAGCAGAGGCAGCAGCATCAGCAGCAGGATGGGCAGCTGTTCAACTCGGCAAAAGAAAGAGAGGAAAAACACAGTCAATGGGTGATTGATTAATTTGAATTAGTTTGAATGATTGATTGGTTCAAGTGAATAATTTTGAATAGTTCATGCAGCAACAGCAGTAGTATCAGTGGGGTCAGGTTGTGAGGGTGAGGTTTGCACGGCGTTGAACAGCAGGAGGCTCAATGTTGGTAACACGGTCCAGAGGGCTGGCGAGCAGTGGCACCCGATCGAGGCAGAAAAGGCAGCAGCATCAGACGCACAGGATGGGCAGCTGTTCAACTCGGCGAAGAAAAGAAAGGAAAACACACAGAGAGGAAAACACACAGAGTTAGTTCTGTAATGGGTGACCGATCACCAATTACAGTGTTAGCAGAGACTCTGGCAGGTATAGAACTAACAGGGAAAACTAATTACCAAAGGCTTGAATATACAAGTAGGTTTTTAGCCTAGACTTAAACACTGAGGCTGTGTCTGAGTCCCGAACATTAACAGGAAGACTATTCCAAAGCTGGGGGGCTTTGTATGAGAAAGCTCTCCCCCCTGACGTAACTTTATTAATTCTGGGTACTAATAGTAAGCCAGCACCTTGTGATCTAAGTAGGCGGGATGGTTCATAGTGAGAGAGAAGTTCACTCAGGTACAGCGGGGCGAGTCCGTTTAGTGCTTTATAAGTCAGCAAGAGAATTTTATAATCAATCCGAAATTTTACTGGCAACCAGTGTAAGGCTGATAAAAAGAGGAGCTGCAGTTTCCTCATAACCCCCCAAATCAGAATCAGACCTGATGAGCATCTCTGATCATCATCTCATCACTCTAACACGTCAAAACCCGTCAGACGGTCTCAGGGAGCTGTTATCAAAACACAAACAAAGAGCGTTCAGTTAAAAATAAAACATGACCACGGTTAAGAGAAAACGAGAGGACGAATTAGAAAATCGTGATCACGAATAAAAAAACGAACCCACGAAGTAAAGAAAACGTGCGCACGATTAAAAGAAAACGGGAAGATTTAAGAAAACGTGACTACGAATAAGAGAAAACGTGCGTACGAACTACAAAACGTTCGCTCGAATTATTTTTTTTTTTTACCTCCGTCCCCTCGGGGCTCCGTAGGGAAAGTGCTTGAGTTGTGGGTTTTTCTGGGAGTGTTTTTGATTATTTACGGTAAAGTCTGTGCTGCTATGATGGTCTCAGTGATGTCATACAGAGTTGGGCAAAATATTAAAAGAAGTAATCATGGCTGAATACTGAATACACTGTCCTAAAAGTAATGTAAAAGTAATGTATTCAGAATATATTTAGAATACATATTGATAAGACTGCTGCTGTAATTTTGACTCAGTTCACACTGTTTCTCACTGTCACTGGATGAGTTTTCGGGAAAATCTCCTGAGCAGGAGTTCAGTGCTAAACTTATCACTCACAAACATGTGCACTACTGAGGAGGTTATTGGTTTGATCATCCCTCAGAAGAGCTTAACAGACCAACTTAGACCAGCATGAAGTGCTTTGTATGCAAAAGTTTGAACATTTTGTAGATTTTTAATTGAGAATAACATCCTCTACAGAGAACAAACTGAAACGCGGCATTTCTACGGAGCCCTGCTGGTGGCATCCTGTATAAATAAAAATAATGCGTTGCCACGACTTAGTAAGGCATGGGAATGAGATAATTAAGTCGTGGCCACGCCTTATTAACGCATGGGAACGAGATCCTAATGCTTGGCCATGACTTAGTAAGCCGTGATCTCATTCCCATGCCTTACTAGGTCGTTAATAAGGCGTGGCGCATTGTTTTTATTTATACAGGGTGTCATTATCAGGGCTTCGTACATTTCCCCTCAAAATTCACATAAAAATAAACTAAAACGAGACATGAAATGTGCCACAACTGGTACATTCCACATTTAATGTTTATTTTTTTCCCCAATAAAAAGCAATTAAATAAAAGTAATAAAAAGTGTGTAGAGGATGTGTAACTTACGTATTATTTTACATAATAAAGGCAAAAAAAATGTAATTTGTGCGCAACTGGAGCCATAGGCCTGTATGTTAGCTTGCTAGCCATGCTAAATTTTTGATCAGGCGGTTACAAAAGGCACGAAAGGGTCCTTGGGATGCAGTTCTGTGCAGGGGGACGTGCCAAAGCGCAGCAACACACCAAGGAGGGCTGACTGGAGTGTGTGTGTGTGTGTTAATCAGTGGAGCTCAACACGCACTGACCGACACACACCTGCAGGTCCGCACTGGCCTCTCATCTCCGACCTGTCGACTGCAGAGCCGCTATGGAGAAGGACGACCTCATTGTGTGAGTTACTTCAGTCTGAATGATCCGGTAAACCTGCCTGACGGCTCCAACACCAACCTTACTGTGGTCATTCAGACAGATTTGACCGTCTAACCTGACATTTTAGCCACATGAACGTCTGTTGTTATGAAAGACTGGTTTTCCTTCCCGACGAGGAAGTTTGGTGTTGGTGGTCTGGACGAGGTGTTTCGTAACGGAGCAGCCTGAACTCCAGCATAGTTAACTTACTTCAGTGAAATTATGACTGAAGTGAAAGTACTTTTCCATAAAACAACGCAGAATTACAACAGTTCCAGCTCAAACTGTTCAAAAGGTCATTCATTTTTGCATAATTAAGTGGCTAAAATGTCAGAAGTCAGTTGGTTTGGTGTGAAAATGCTGTGGAGTTCTTTAATAACTTAGTCAGAATAGCTCACAGTGGTGCTGATAGGAACCAGACGGCCAGAGTTTAATTCCTCTAAAAGCTTCCTCACAGAAGGTTATGGTGGGAACCGGTTATGGATGCGCTGCCTGATGACTTTAAGATCAGGTTCTGGCCAAAAAACGAATTTATTATTTTCATTTTTATTTAGATTTTTAAAGAAATTTGTGGCGGAGGGGTACAAACAGGGCGTGTAAAACAAAGTAGTACCCAGACTTATTATATACATGTTATAACAACATTAGAATGTGTGTGTGTGTGTGATATATATATATATATATATATATATATATATATTATGCTATAATGTGCTCATCCAAAGTTCTGAAAACTGAAATGAAGGGTAATAATAGAGGTTTGTCCTCCTTCGCTGCAGTAACAGCCTCTACTCTTCTATATAGGCTTTACGCTAGATGTTGAACATTGCTGTGAGGGTTTGATTGAGCATTAGTGAAGTCAGGTGCTGGCGTTAGATGATTCGTTCTGGATCACTTCACCTCATCCCAAAGGTACTGGATGGCCTCGTGCAGCTGCTCCAGTGTCCCATTATATTGCCAGTGCTTTTCTATGGAGATTATATAAGCTGTATGTGCGCAGTTGGACAGCTATATCAGACATGGCTTCACCTTAAAGGGGAATTCCACCGATTTTTCAAAATTTCTATAAATTTGCACTAAATTTCAATATGTTATAATCGAGTAGTTGAAATACAGACAAAGTCATTCAGATTTGGTTTTATGTGAATTGGTTCATGTGCAAAGAAACTTACATACGCAGATTTCTTTACAGTGGTGATGATAAGAACCAGGAGTCCTGATGTCTACAGAGCAGATGTAGCCGTTGATGGTGGTAAAATATTAATCAATCTGAAAAATTAAGTTTTCTTTGGGGGCTATTTTCCCTTAGAACACTCTTCATGTACCTGTCCACCATGAATGGATTAAATTAAAATACATTTTTGACCAAAACTTTATCACAAAACTACTGTTAAACAGTGTCTCAGACATCAGGCTGAGTATTTATAACCATTTTATATAGAAACTTTCTGTGAGGGAGCTTTTAGAGGTGGAAATCTGGTTTCTATCACCACCACTGTGAACAGTTCTGACTCTATAGTGTTGTCTAGACATGTTATCCATTTAATTAGACAGGAGTTTTGAAGAATCGCTGTAGTTCCTCTTTAAAGTAGCTAAGTAAGTAAAGGAGCTTAAATTAAGGGTGGGCAAAAGTATAACATCACAATACACATACTGACAGATATTAACAGGGGATCATATTTTGTGTTTGGGTTCTCCAGAATAAGGCCTGTTTCAGGTCTGTGATCTAGAGTTTGGAACATTTTCAGTGCTTTCTGTAGTAAATGTCGCCTTATCATGTCATGAAGTAGACCGTTATTTCTCTGCTGGCCGAGGGGCTTATCTTCTCTGTCCAGGTCTTCTCTGGAAGAGAATGCTGGTCTTGATTATTAGACGGAGAGGGAAGGGGCGTCTGAGCTGGGAAGATAACAGATAACCTGTAGTGCATAACTAGGATCTGATTGGCTGCAGTGAAAAAGAAATGAATAGGCCCCACCATACACTGTTTCTGTGTCTCGAGGTTGAAATACTTACAATTAACAATATAAGTGGTCCAGTAAAGATGTTATGGGGTCTGGGAACAACGGGCCTCCCTGCTCTGTGGGTCCCAGTGCAACTGCCCCACCTGCACTGCTGGTAGTTAGGCTGCTGAGTCAGGCTGTATTGTAATTGTAGTAAATGGCGTTTAGTGTGCACATCCCCAGTAACGCCTCTTGTCTCTGCAGCCCGAAGGACTTTCCAGAGCTCAAGAATGACACATTCTTACGAGCTGCCCGCGGCGAGGAGGTCGAACATGTTCCAGTGTGGTGTATGAGACAAGCCGGACGCTACCTGCCAGGTAACTGTGTCTGTGCTCAGCCTAACTCCACTGACGCACCACTGATTAGGGCTGGGTGTTGGAAGCAGCTTCCCGATATGGTGTGATTACTGCTGGATGATAAAACGATCTTGGTCATAGGATATTCGTCAGCAGCAGTGGTCATTAACGTCCAAAAATGATGGCCAGACAAGAAAATGACCCCACACAAAAGGGCCTGTATCATGGAAAATTGCTTTTTTTAAAATAAAGACTCTGTTTTTGTGATGTCACTAGAAACAGCTCATGTTCTTATATTGATTTATTCAGCCTAAAGTAGTTTAGCTCCGCCCATTCACACTGAAGTTCAAAGGAGTGTCATTGTGCATTGTTTTAAGGACACAATAACCAAGACAGCCTGTTTAATTCTAAGGGTTAAATAGAGGTAGTGGAACTGAATTATGACCATTTTTGGTGCATAAAACCACTCATAGATTATAAGTGGACTGTAAGGGAAAGAATAACATACAAAAAAAGTCCAGCACTGTGATACATACCACAAAAAACAAGCCTTGTTTTTCCTTTTTTTGTGCTTACTTAGCTACTAATCAAATGCATTTGTGTGCATAAGTTTGGGTACCCCTGGTCAAATGACGTTTTGTTGAAGAGTAAAAAAGTTCACACTTCCACACATTTTAATACACAATTACTGTTTATTTGCTGAATTTTACACATTGAAAAAATAAAACTAAAAATGTGGTCTGTGCAATTTTTCATTGTTTTCTTATTAGGCTGTGTTGCATCGTACAGCTTAGCATAAACAGATATATTTTGAATTTGTCTTAACCGTGTTTTCTGTTATTTAGTTTAATTTGTTTAGAAGACAGCAAAATGGAAAAAACATAAAACCAAGAATTCAAAAAGTTTTAGCAAACAAGAGCTATTGGTGGAAAAAATAGCCAACAGGAAAATCCTGGATCTTCTTTAGGAAATATGGTAATTGTAGGGTGACGGCGGAAAGCAAGAGACGAGGATGGGCAACAGTAGCAGTGGCAGCGTCAGTGTTAATTGATCTAGATCAAATCTTGTCAACTCTTACAGCCTCAGACAAGCGTAAGGCTATCATAAGGTTAAGAAAACATTTAAGAACATGATATTTTCAAGAACACCACTCGTTCTTAAAATTATTCTTAAGGAAAAAAGAAAAGGAAAGGAAAAAAGAGAATTCTTAAGAAGTTATTTGAAGAATAACAGTTTTCCTAACTTTTTTCTTAAGAATGAAGTTTAAAACGAATTTGAGAAGATTTTCTTTTTTAAGACACTTTCGTGAATCTGGCCCCTGGCTCCCGTCACCACTGCTGTGAGCAGTTCTGGCTCTACACTCTTCTGTAGAATGAAGAATTTCACATTGAACCACTCTGAATGACTTTGTTTACTTCATATTTGTTGAGTTGTGCAGAAATTTTGAAAATGTGGTGGAACTCCCCTTTAAATGTTGTTTGTGTTGCGTTATCAATATACAGCACAGCCCATACCGCTGTTGTTTCAGTGTGTGGTGCTTTTTTATACACAGAGTTCAGGGAATCCAGAGCAGGGAAGGATTTCTTCGAGACGTGCCGCTCCCCTGAAGCCTGCTGTGAGCTGACACTACAGGTTAGTAGCTCCTGACACTTTCATTAGTTCTGTATATACTGACGATTTTACCAATACGGCTGCTCGGATTTGTAGCGCTGACAGGCAAGTTGATCTTTTTCCATAGCCACTGAGACGTTTCCCTTTTGATGCATCGATCATCTTCTCGGACATCCTGGTTGTACCACAGGTAAGAAGCATCATTGTATTGTAATGATGTAAACATGGCCTGATGCATCGATCTGAAGGTGGTGATTCAACGACATTGATTCTGCAATGTTAGAACAAATTATTATGGACATAAATTCAATAAGAAAATTCCTTATTAGGCCAAATTATTGAACTGTAAAAATTAGGGACTGAAATTGTGATCTCAAGTGATTTATGACCTTTATTAATGCCAGTCGTGAAGAGCAATGATGACACGACGTCTTTACTACAGATTTGATACCCCTTGATAACACATCTCGCTCGATATGCAGAATACAGCTAAACAACGTCGGCAGACAGGAAAGTCGCTGCTGCCGTCTGTAGCCTCAGTTTCTGAAATGGTAAAAAAGTCACAAACGATATCCAGAGTGCAAAATATAACTAAAAAATAACCGAAATTCGTACACTTTGATAACTAAACATTGTATTTTTCTGGGGATGTTGCAATTCTTAGCACATACTGTCACCTACATACTTATATAAACTGTTTTTATTTACTGTCAGCTCAGTTTAGGCCTACTGACTGCAAATTATACCAACAATAAAAGATTATTTTCTCTATCTCACCCTGTAGTTTTTATGTTTAGTATGTTTTTTCAAAAGCATGAATAAAACAACAAAAAATATATATATTTTTCAGCCAGGTGGGTTTTGAATTTTGGTTTCGGGCAGGAATTTTCAGTTCTTGCATCACAAATTTTTGGATGTACATTTGGTATTCAGTTTATTTATTTATTTATTTATTTATTTTTTGTCAAAAAAATGTTTTAAAAAGTTGCACAATGCAGTGATTTACGTCCTGAAGAATTGTCAAATTGTTGTGAGGTCAGATTTATGTAAAAAATACATTTAAGTGTAAACTCACATTTCATATTAGTTTATTTTTCTTCCCTTCTGAATCCCTAACTTGATGTGTTTACCACCACTTGTGTGCGTGTCCCCGGGTGCGTGTCCCCGGGTGCGTGTCCCCGTGTGCGTGTCCCCGTGTACGTGTCCCTGTCCTCAGGCGCTGGGTATGGATGTCCAGATGTCTCCAGGAAAAGGCCCTGTATTCCCAGAGCCCCTGAAGGAGCCTGATGATCTGCAGAGGCTTCGGCCCAAAGTGGACGTAGATGCTGAGCTCGGCTACGTCTTCAAGGCCATCACCCTGACCCGACACAAACTAGAGGGAAAGGTTCCGCTCATCGGCTTCACTGGAGCACCCGTGAGTGGACCAGGACTAAATTAGCCCAGCCAGTTCTGTTTTGTCAGTTAATAGACACCCATGCTGGCTAGCACCACCCTGAGTTGAGAGTATCTAAGAAATGATCCAGTTATTGTCAATTCTTTAGCCAAATTTGCTATTACAGGACCAACCAGACAGACATGGAGGCCAGTTATGCTCTCACGGACTCCTGGCCACAGATAGCTGCGGCGTCACTGGAGATCGAACTTGCATCTAAAACTTAGACGGTTGTGCCGCTCATGAGACAGCTTATTCTATAGGTTTCATCACATAGTAGATAGTAGATTTTTTTTAAACAATTAATTGACGTTAAAAATAAGAAAGCAAGTAGATTTGTTACATACTATACTATACCCAGTCAGGGAAACTCAGTGGAAAAGGTGACAAGTTCAGAAAAAATAATGCCGTCTAGCAGGGTCCAGAAAATTGTGCTCCTTTTAACATAAGAATTCTCGTGCATTCTGAGATTAAAATACACAAGTAATTGCTAGAACTATTTCATTCACTGAGCTCAATAGCTATAAAATACAAACCATGATCAAAAGTTGTATGATTTTCTAGGTATTTAGACTTTTTTTGTCAAAGCTTTGTCGCTTACCATACCATGGTAAGAAGGCCAATGTGTACAAAATTTAGCAGACACATTCCTTTGAACTACTCCACATCAATTACAAATCAAGGCCATTCTAAAAACGCCATCCAGTGTTTATTATCCTGGTGCCGTAATGGCATGTAGTGCTTGGACCCCGGTAATTGCTACTTGTGATGTAATTTGTGATGTTGAACATTTTCTGCATCAGTTTCAGACGAAAAGTAAGTGGAAGCTGGTTGTCATGGTTGTTCACAATGATTATTTACATATACGCAGTTTTTTTCACCCACCATTTCAAAGCTACCGTAGAACAAAATCTGAATATGTGAATATGAAACGAGCTTCACTACTCATAGAGCTTTGCTTCTTTTTCATGGGTCAGTAATGTTATCTTAGTTCTGATTGGCCCATAAAAAATGAAATGCTAAATACTAAATATGTGGGTTTGCTGAATAATGTCCATGTAAACCCACCCTGTACAAACTTCAGTAAGAATGTGAGACTGATGAGACCGATCTCTGTGTTTTTGTCAATATGCAGTGGACTCTGATGTCCTATATGATTGAGGGTGGAGGCTCCACCACCCACTCGAAGGCGAAACGCTGGTTATACCGACATCCAGAGGCCAGCCATAAGCTTCTGAGACAACTCACTGATGTCATTGTGGAGTATCTGCTGGGCCAGGTGAAAGCTGGAGCACAGGTGAGAGACTGAGAGAGGGACTCCAAATGCTGTGAGTTCATCCTTCTACTATACCTGTTGAAGCTTTCTGTTTAAATTGCCATCATTTTAATTCAGCGCTCAGCAAGTACAAGCACACATGCTCGTCAGGCCTGGTTTATCTGGTCAAACATGAATTAAAGGACATTGTTATTAAACTGAACAGACATTTGAACTAAAATATAATAATTCAGATAAAAACGAACTCAAAAGTTCAGTTGGATTTGCCGTAATAAGGTAACACGGCCCTTTATGTTCTTAACAACCTCGATCCTGAAGCTTTAGTATTATCTAGAAAACACTCATTAACATTCATTAGCATTAACAGGGGTCGGTACAGTGCGGCTCTGTTACTGCCCTGTTGTGGCTCCACAGCTGAATTAGATTAGTAGGTAAAAATAAAATAATCCTCCTTTGCAGTAAAATAAAGCTCTGCTGATCGTTCAACACAGTTTTAACAATAAATGGTCTTAAACTCTGGAGTTAATGTAGAACTGCTAATTCACCCTTTAACCCTGAAGGTTGGCGCTCAGACTGCTGTTCACATAGCAACGCAGACAACAGTCTCGCCTAGCTAGTAGCTAACGAAGCGGCAAAGAGTAAGATTTAAGATGAACACCGATAATTTGGAGACGAATTGACTTATTTGCATTTATAATCAATCCAGCTGGTTTCCTGATACGTTTAATCTGCATCAAGAAGCTGTCAAACACTAAAAAGCCACAAGGCTGAAGTCGTCTTCTTGGTCAGCAGCTTCTTGTACGAATTTTCCTGTTCCACCTTAAATGGTGCAGCGGTTACATTCTGGCGCCTCAGGCAGCGTTTAAGGTGAAACAGGAAAATTCGAACAAGAAGCTGGCGAAAGAGAAGCGACTTCAGCCTCGTAAAAAGTCGAATGTCGAGAGATATTTTACAAGAAAACTGTTCTACTTTTGCGGAAAAGTTTCCTGCCAGAGATGTGAGAAAAGCAGCTATAGCTGAGGTAAAGCTTAAAGCAGAGCAATGTAAGTCTATGATTTTGTTTATATTATATTTTTATCCTATACTAGCACATCAGCACATACTGAGACATACAGTCAAGATGGTAAAATGGATATAGAATATTGTGACTCCCAAAGTGGTTTGTTTTTATTTTTTAAGGACAAAATGGCTCTTCTTAACATTTGGATTGTCGACCCCTGAACTTTAACATTAGTTGATAATGCCAAGTAAAACAGCATGCCTTTTTAGGCCAGCTAAATAGGAAGTGATTTATTTTTCACTGTATTTTTTTTTCTCAGTATCAGATAAAGGTTAATACTGTATATTACAATCATTGGTAATCCAGGCTAATAAACAATAACAAACACTCATGGCAGATCACTATAAACATTCTAAATATTGTGAGGACCCGTATACGTGAGAATAAATTAGTACTGTTTGCGTTTTTAGGCTCTGCAGGTGTTTGAATCCCACACTGGCTGTCTGGGCCCAGCAGAGTTTAAGGAGTTCTCTCTGCCATACCTGCGGGACATTGCACGCAGGGTTAAAGACAAGCTGAAAGAGTCCGGACTGGACAACGTGCCTATGGTGAGTATGGAAAAAAGCATAGGCTGAACTTACCAGACCGCCACTGGCGATATTCCCAGGCCTGCTGGTTTGGGTTCAGACCTGTTTCCTCTTTTTAAATGACTCACACAAAAATAGCTTGCATGCTACCAGCTCCCCCTTGTGGAGGAATTTCAGTTTGCTAAACATGACCGAGTGAGTGAGCTCCATAGCCACATGCACGCGTTTTACATGTGTTCACATTAAAAACAGGTTTTCATTGCTATAGCGGAGGCACACTGGAAATCAGGTATAGATGCCTGTGGGAAGCCGTTAAATATTTTCAGAATTATTCAGCTCCTCTGAGCCATCAGGCTATTTAAACTGTATGGAAAATGCAAAGAATTTTCTGCAGATGGTATATTGCACTGTGGGAACCCCAAGCAAACACAGTAGAGAATTTTCTCTACCATAACATAATTGCTTATTAATGTGCCTCAGCTTTTAACAGTAAAAAGGAATAAAATTTTTACGTGAACAGATTATTTAATGCTTTTTAACCGAGCTGTTTAAAATGAAATCGGTTCTCTTTCCCATCACAAAGATTATCGCCTTTGAAGCATTGCCATTGGGTTTCTTTTCAGTCCGAGTACACTGCATTGTCCTGGCCTGTAGCACAGAAGCTACAAAACAGATTGAAATTACATTGTGTTTGGATTACTGAGTGCCATGTCTTGATTACTGAGTGCCCTTTGTTTTTATTATTTGTTTTTTTAAGACATCATCGATATTTCTTTCCAACCTGTGGCAAACTTTGCTAGGTGTATGTAGGCCTTGAAAGAAAACATACTGCACTTGGTTATACAAACCACTAGGTGTCAGTATTGGGTAACAGTTGCAATACCAACTCAACTTTACTTCTTGTTCCTCTGTTTTCAGATTGTATTTGCGAAGGATGGTCATTACGGTCTGGAGGAACTCTCCCAGTCCCATTATGAGGTAGTGGGTCTGGACTGGACTATTGACCCGCGCTCAGCACGGTGAGTCAGCTGTATTCAAGTGATGCATTATGGTGCATCAGAAAACAGTGCTTTATTTGACTAGTTCTATTTAAATCTTTCACAACAGGTTCCCTAACTGTTGTGTAACGTTTTATGAATGAGCTATTTGTGCTTGTTTTACAGGGAGCGGACCGGAGGGAAGGTCAGTCTGCAGGGCAATATGGACCCCTGTGCACTTTATGCCACTAAGGTGAGAATATGGACTGGATGAGAGGTTATTTCTGATAATTATTGTCCACTCAGACCACAGGCTGTGTGTTTTTAACAGCCAGAATATGAAATGTGGCTAGGGGCGCTGGGCAGTAGGTAACGTCGACTGTCAAATGGGGGAAAAGAATATCTCTAAAAGAGCAGCTGCTGTCCATTAACAGCTGTGTTTGTTGTTTACTGCTCCCATTTTGCATAGAGATTCTTCCTAGTATATTATCTTGGGCTTGAACGGATTGTCTGTCTTTAAATAATGCATTACAATAAGGCTGATATCTGTTGTTTCACATGAGAAGAAGAGCAGTAGCTGATTATTCAAGGAGACATGGGGTTTCACACTGTTAAATGAGTAGTTTGGCAGCAAAAAAATCTAGTAAACATTTAAAAACATGGACGAAAGTACGCTGCATAGCCAAAAACAGTAGCAGCCTCCGTTTTTGCCAGACTGTTGCTTTAACCTCTATTTCTTTTCTATTTTTCTGGTTCAGGAGCGCATTTCCGAGATAGTGAAGACGATGGTGGAAGGTTTTGGCACCAGAGGCTACATCGCTAACCTGGGCCACGGTGTGTACCCCGACATGGACCCGGAGAGCGTGGGTGCCTTCGTGGAGGCCGTCCACACACACTCTCGCCAGCTCCTCAACCGCAACTAAGCCGTTACCGTCCGTCAGAACAGTCCAGCCAGAAGAAACAGCACCACCAGAGCATGTGACTGTACACGTGGTCTAATCATACAGCCTTAGATGCTTAGCAATCACTTTTAGGCAGAATGTGAAACTGTTAGCCGTACTGAGCCGTCTTCTGGCTGTCTGCACTGCAATCACGACTGAAACAGAGGGACCTGTTAAAGGCACAGACCGATCAGAAATGCGAACACAGAGGAAAGTGGATAGATGTTAGCATTTATGATCAGATGACCCCTTTGAGCACTAGTGTATTGATATATGTGGATGTTTTTGTATTTAGCCAAATAAAGACGTATCCTTTTAATAGTGGGCTCTGCATTCATGACTGAAACAGACCACCTATTTCAATATCATGCCCTCATCTACTTGGCCATTTCCCAGTAGGGGAGTCCTCAGTGCCATTCTAAATGGCCCATATCATGGAAAACTAAATTATCCTTGATTTGTTGAAAGTTTGTAGTACGTAAACAAGGTTAAAGTTTAAAAACATTCGCTCCGTAATGCGTATGGGTTATATATGGAAACCAAGCTGTAAAAACGCAAGCACGTTTTTGAATTTACTGTTTTTGTGATGTCACAAAAACCAGCGCATTTACATATATCCATATGTTCCAACTGCAGCAGTTTAGCTCCACCTATTCACACTGAAAGAATAAGCTGTGATTCAGTCTGGACTGCCTTTTGAATATGATGTAATACAGAGAAACCAGTCAGAACAGAGCTCATTTACATATGTCAATCTTATGTTCCTAGGTGGTTGCTATGGTTGCCTAAGTCAACTGTTACCTTAACCTTACTGCTACCTTAAATCATTGCTGCCTTAAAGCCACAATCACCTTAAATCTCCTGCAACCTTAAATTTGCTACCTTAAATCCAGTGCCATCTTAAATACACTGCTACCTAAAACCTCCTGCCACCTTAAAAGAGTGTGTGTGTGTGTGTGTGTGTCTGTGTGTGTGTGTGTGTGTGTTGCACTCCATTCATTACTATGGGGGAAAAAAAAGTTCGCAAAATTCCATTGCTACATGAAAATCGATCAAAAAGCTGTATACAAGCCCGAATCGCACAATCAGACCATGCGGAGTTGGAACAGTCTCAAAAACTGCAGGACGAGTTGCGTGGCAAAAATCCGGCAGAAAAATAAGAATAAAAGAGAAGAAGAATAATAGAAAACTAATAATAATATAGTAACAATATGCCACAATAATAATAATAATAATAATGATAATAATAAGCTTTATTTATACATTGTTTCAAACAACGTTTCACAAAGTTCTTTACAAAAGACAGAAATAAATTAAAATTGCAAATATAAACAATTAAGAGAAGTAAAACAGAAAAAAAACAATAAAAGCAATGAAACCAAGAATAAAATAAAAACATTTTAAAATGCTGTAAAGTGAATAACATGTTAATAAAAGCTAATCTAAACAAAGCTAGTCTCAACCTTCCCCTTGAATATGCCAAGATCTTCCAGAGCCCTTTGGACATGAGTAAGGGAGTTCTAAAGATTAGGGCCGCCCCAATGGGAGAAGGCCGCCGTACCACTTCTATGCTGAATGGCTGGTACAGCCAGCATGTTCCTGTGGGCTGATCTGAGGACTCTTGAAGGGACGTACCTAATAACCATATCACTGAGGTACTGTGGAGCTCGACCATTTAAAAAAACAGTAGAAGAATCTTAAAATCAGTTCTAAATGGTTGTTACATAAAGCTTTGTGTACATTTGGTGTATAAAGCCACACAACCTTCACAACAGGCCTCAGAGAAATGTAGGATATGGACCCTTTAGGAGACGTTCTATTACTTCATTCGCTCAAGTAGAGTTTGTTAGATGGGCCGAAAATTGTGATTTGATGCATTTCCCTGTTTATTAACCATAGTAATAACAATATTTAATATTTCAAAACGTCAGCAATCAGTTTGCCATGTTCAAACTGGGATTTATGTAGAAAAATACTTAAATACTTAAAAATACTTGACAGATACAGCTTCATTATGTACTTGAGGTGAAGTTGCCGACAGCATGTAAAAAGCAGTATTGAAACAGGACCATAGGGACCTGTCAAAGACACAGACTGAACAGAAATGCTAATATGCTACTGGGTAGCGATCCCTTTTAACACCAGTGTGTTTGTATGTATGAATGTTTTTATATTTGGCCAAATAAAAATGGATTCATTTGCAGCCTGTCTGAGCTAAACCAACCTAATGAGAACGCTTGAAGGCTTTGTAGTACATAACCAAGTAATCTATCAAAGGTCATTGAGTTGTCTTCGGGTTTAATGAACCATTTGCGGGAATGAAAAGCCGAAATATATTCGCCATGGCTTAAAGAAGAATGGCAGGAATTGTTTTGATTACAGGCCTTCCCACAGTTGTATACAGAGGGCTACATGCCTGATAGATAAAATAATCCCAGCGGCCGCTACGTCCGAAGGCGGGTAAGCACCCAGCCAAGGCAAATCCTCAAAATCCAGTTGTTTTTGTTTTGGAGGTGGTGGCAACAGAATTCCACAACACATCACGTGACTCCAACGAGATGTTTTTGAGGGCCGCGCTGATCCTCAAAAACAAGGTTTTAGTCAAATTAATGGCATCTGCGATCCCCAACACATTTCAATCATGGGCAGGATTTGCATGTAGATTTGTACCAGTTTGTTTTTTTTGGATCCCTGATTTCCACCGGTCTGCAAAAGCTGAGGACTGACCTCTCCAGGATCCAGTGCATTCTTTCATAGCGATTACTGCTAAGCTTTACAAATTCCATTCAACCTAATGAGAAACTGTAGTTCTCTTAAGAGTTGCCGCTTAACTGTTAGACAGCAGAGAGTTCTGGGCCGATTCTACTCAGGTGTTTGTTCACTACCAGGCACACATTAGGCATATGGGCCAGAATAAGGTCAGATCCTGAACAACATCATAAGGTTTGTCCTTGTGCCTATATTTGCGGACCAATTCTGGCAATGTAGTTGGGCCAGATTTGGGCCACATCTATTAGTTCTACTTACTTTACAGTGTGTGAGCCAGATCTGGGCCAAAACAAATGCAAGGCAGGACTATGTTGTAGCTAATCAAAGCTCAGCTACACTCTTAAAAAAGATGGTTCTCCAAGGGTCCTTGAGTAAACAACATGGTTCTGTGGAGAAACATGGACACTCAAAGAATACTTTGCATGATTAAAGGGTTCTTTGCATCGTGAAAGTGTTCTTTAGATTGATGGAAATTGTGATGTATGTTGTTTTATATAGAACCTTTTTGAAAAGGGTTCTGTAAAGCACCAAAAAGGGTTCTTCTATGTATACGATGTCAAGCTTGCAACAGTAGAAGAACTCTTTTTGGTGCTATATAGATCAAAAAAAAGATTTTTTTAGTGTGTACAAAACAATGACCTCCAATCTGTCCTTAATGTGAGACTTTTCACACGCCTACAAAACATCACATGAAATGATGAACTCCAAATTCAGGTATTTTGACCAAAGCCGAGTTGAGTGCAGAGTCACAAAATGCTGAAAAAGTAGTGCTTGCTGAGTTCTGAATAGACTACCCTAAATGTGTGTATTCCATTATACATTAACACATTTGGACATTGAGGTACGGCACAAAGAAACACTGCTGTCTTAATATTTACCTTATTCACACAGTTCCTCGCTGTTCTTCGTTGTCATTTTTCTTCATGTAATTCAAACAGGCTGTTTTTAAAGCATAGTTTTCATATGTTTCATTCATATATTTCATATATTTAATTTAGTAAGTGTATTCTGAATAGCCACTTGTTAAAAACATAACGTGCATTACAGATACCTTAATTCTGTATCCTGAAGTCCAGTGGTGAACAGTGACTGTGCTACGTCTTTAGCTTGGAAATGTAAAGACTTACTTCGTTTCACCAGCACCCCTATGGGATAATTGTATGTTAGCACTAAGCTAACAGCAATTCACATAAACATGTTTGTTATAAAGGGTGATTCAAAAAGATTTATCCGATTTCAAAGCGCCATTTTTTACAACGTGAGGCGTCTAGGAACCAATCACATACTAATTGAAAGAGGGGGGTCATAGAGTTTCTGACTGTCAGTATGGCAGTGAACCTCCAACAGCTCAGAGCGTTCGTTGTTGGTGCCAACAGCTCCAAGAAAAAGGTCACCAGCATCACCAGCTCTCTGATTTTTTGTGGGGTATGTGCCACCACTTCCAACAACACTGGACGATCTCCGAAATCGCACTGAAAGAGCCGTGAGTGCAGCGACACCCGACATGCTCAATCCAGTATGGGATGAATTTGACTATGGTGTTGATGTTGTCCGTACAGCTGGAGGAGGTTCATATTGAGACCTTGTACAATTACATAATAAACGTTCTGCTCATTTACAGTTTACTGCATTGATCTGTGACGATTTACAAGTGAAATCAATCATTTTGAAATCGGGTGAATCTTTTTAAATCACCCTATAGATTTAACACAGACATCTGAATCTTGTAAAATACATTTCAGATGTTTTATTGTAACAGACATTAATTTATTTAACCTTGTACTGTCATGTACAAACCTTCTGGCCTCCCCACTGTCAAAATATGTTTTCTTAACACATCATCTTCAGCGGTGGTTCTCAAACTGGAGGCTGTGACCCCCTTGGGGTGGCAAGGGGCCACTAAGAGGGCCACAGAATTTTTTTTTAAAGCGTTATCTCTACTTTGTCATTGAAAATTTTCTCAGTTTAAATCTGCATCGGACATATATAAAAAAGTGGTACTGACATTTTTATTTGTGTTTGCCTTTGAAAATGGGCATCTACTCTGTGGACGTCTCAGGCCTCACTTTAACAGATCCCTCAGGCACAGCTTTTGTATATCTGTTGCTTCAAAAAGTGCATTCGCAGGAACGCTGGCTCAATGTAAAAAAAACGCTGAAAGCCTAACTGAGGTCATGGAGGACATTGGAACAGTTGCCAAGCAGCGACTGAAGGAGAAAATAAACTGTGTGTTTAGGGAAGATGTGGGGAGCGTCAAGATCATGATCGGCCGTCGTTCATTTTTTCGCTGCCCTGCTCGTAAAGTTCCAAAACATCTGTTTAGATGCTCTCATGATTGCTCGTGTGGGCCCCGTTGTGGCTCAGGCCCATGAGCACTCTCCCATAAAACCATTGGAATAACCTGGGCCTCATAACTGGTCCCCCATTGTAAACTGAAACCTACCTGGTTGATTTTGCTGTCAGTTCCATATAATACTGGTGGTTAATCTGACACATTAGGCCTCCAGTTCAGCTCCTGAAGGCCTTACCAATAAGAGAGCTCGCTTGGCT